GAAATAAGCCAGTCAGAGAAAGACAATTATCACATGATCACACTTATATGTGGAATCTAATGACAAATTATCTGATGAATAAAATAGAGAAGATGTACTGATAGATTATGTCATAATCTGTAGTACTTTTCTTTTAAACATCTAGATTAAACAACTAATGCTAAGACATAAAAATTCTGCCTATTTACATGTTTTGACACTTTTCAGTTTAACTTTCAGTTTTCTGCTAAATATTTGTGCCAAAAATGTTATGTTCCCTTTTGAAGGATCAACATTGTTAGCTAGATATTTTTTCTTGTAGTTGAAAATTGTTCTTCTAAAGATCCCCATTACCTTTTTATTGTACCATAAAGTATAAAATTCTGCAAAATATGTACAGAAAGTGCTGTATATCTCTTTCCTATGCCTGGCTCCAGTCCACATCAAAATATTAACATCTGGGATACAGTAAATAGCATCATCTTAATTACTTTCTAAAATCTTCACATTTCATCTTGGATATATGTGCTATTTTGACTGATCATACACTACTCTCTTTAGGTTAGGTATGGAGGAATTATAGATTTGAGCTCCTGACAAAATAATATATTCTTTAAAACTAAAAAAATGAGTGTGTCTGCAAATTAACAGCAATGTGATCACAATCCAAGCTTTGACCCTCCAGCAAGAAATATCTTGCCTCAGAGTATATAAACAACTATGTGTAATTTCAGCTGACAGTAAAATACAGCACAGCAGAGATCTGTGTCAACAATGTCATGACTGCTTTACATGTGAAAGTCATAATGCAAAACACAAGGTGACAAATGAACTGAAGCTCATTTGATAAACATGTTTACAGAACTTCACCAAGATTTGAATACTCAACAAAATGTTGCTATATTCAAATTAGAATCAATAAGTGAAATTAAAATATGTTTCCAAAAGAGAATTCATAGAACTATTCATATGCATGAATACAACTTAACTTGTGTGAATTAAACAGGACAGTAATTTTGTTGGGTTGTTTGTTTTTTGGGTTTTGTGTGTGTGTGTTTTTGTTTTTTAGTATTTTAAATTATTCAGCTGAAGTTAATATCAAAGTGAAATGAAAGTTCTATTCATCTGAGTGAAAGTAATCTTCACAACTCTCTAGGATAATTATGGGCATGTGAGTGTGTGTGTATCACTGTTATCACTATCAGTGAGTAATAAATACTGGTTAAATATGGAGAATAGAGATTTGTTTGTTTTGTGTGAGTTTATCTGTATATGGTCATATGGCAAGAAAAACTCAGGAACGACTAACTAGGCTAGAAACTGCTACTTCTAATGGAGATGCAAATATTTATTAAGAAAACAGTAGATTTTTAAAACTAGTATATAGTATTTATGTGTAACATGAACATGATTATTAGCTTAAATATTTTTAACCAGCCTTAACAAATGTATTCACTGAACACCCACAGAAATTAATACCTCTACTGATTTTCTTGGATGAAGTAAAACTTCATTAATCTTAATTATCTATGTCCTCTCATCAGTATGTGATATTGGTAGTTAATAATGTAAGAAAAACACCACCACCGAAATGTCTTCCTGTATTAACTTGGCAATACTAATTGCTGCCTAGATCTTAAGATACTTTGAAGAGAAATTACAGGTGATTGTTTTTCTCTAGTTATTTTTTTCTATTTATTTTGAAAGAGTATCTATTGGCACAATTCTTAGTAAAAATAGACTAAAGTCAAAAAGGTTACTCAATTATTAAAAAGTCTAAAGTTCTGCAGTGTTCAGTCAGCGCTGCTGAAAGAACAAATTTTCCTCCGTTCATGTCTGAGGTGATCCTTCACACTGTCCAACCTGCCTTATTAGCCTGTGGTTTTTGAGGTGAATATCAACAGTTTCAACAATGAGTTAAAGCTTTGAGGCATTAACTTATCTTCTTAATTTCATTCCAAAGATTAGAGTTGAAGAACAAAGGGAGCTGGAGTGAGGTAAATAGAAAGAAATTGGGTGATGAAGGAGACTGACCTCCTTAGTCCACATTGGTCTTCCTTGACCATGTGATCAAGGTATGAATACTGACGTATTAAGGAAAGTTTGTGGGTGGGCCTTCTGGGTAAGTCTTATAAAACAGATGAACGCAGCTGGCATGGGACTTAGGGTTTTTCTCCTGTGACTCGGCCTACCCGTTTCAGAGACATAGACAACGTCTGCAGGAGCAGCAGCCGTCCTGGGAGCACGAGAACGGAGTCCACATGTAGAAATGGCAGAACAGAAAATAACCACCTAGGTCCTTGGGCATTTGCAGTCACCCTGGAGCCCAACTTCAAACACCTTGTTACTTAAAAAATGAAACTACTCTCAGTTTCAGCAGCTGGAGTAGAACTTGTTTTCTCCAGTTAGAGAAAGAGATGGGGTGATTTTCCCTACTATATTTAAAGAGTCGATTACAAAGCTTTCCAGAGTAAAAGCTTTGTTCTGGTCTGGGAATCCAAAATTGCTCTGTCTGTTGGTCTGGCCCAGTTGAGACATAAGAAAATCTTATTATACTTACTTAATAATAAAAGTCCCAACTTAAGGGATAAGACAACTGTGAAGAAAAAACAGTTAGAGCTGAGCATTGAGGGGACCACAGAGGCAAACACCTGCTGCTATGGGAAAGCCCTCAGGCCATAGCTTAATGTTCTGACAGCCATGGGTGTGTTTGTACTGAGGTGTGTGTGTGTGTGTGTGTGTGTGTGTGTGCGCTTGTGTAAAATATAACCATAAGATATGAAAATAGACATTGAGTAATTTGTTTTCTTATAACTGTATGAGTACCATAAACCTTTAATCAAGGTAAATAGTACAAGTACCTCCTTTTCATGGAAAGATCTTTCACTTCCACTTTGGATTGCTTCTCCAGACTTGGGGAGAGGGCACTGCTCCACTTCTGTGGGGTCCATGTGAGTATGATGACACAATGCAGACAAAGGGATTTATCATTTCAAGTTATTTTTACTTCTGTCTCCTCCATCCCATTCCCCTCTCTCATTTCAGTTCCCCACTCCTAGTGACCGTAAATTTGCTCATGTTTCTTTTTCCTTCTTCCCTTACCTCTAAAATCAGATCAAAGATCCATGTAATATTTGGACCTGGCTTGCCTGACATAGCCAGAGGGACTGTACCAAGGGTTTCTAAGTTAATGGAGAGAATAGAGCATCACTAACTTGTCTCAAACAGCATTTGGGTGAGCTATAACCTCACATTGCAACATTGCAGTAGTACCATAGCTTCCAGTATTAGTCATCCATTTGTAGCTTCCTGGCTGAAATTCTGAATCCTAGTTCTTCCAAATTGTAGAAGGAAAAGAGAAACAAACACAGAACCATGATTGAAACCAACACAAGAACCGCCTGGGGTGTTCCTTTTTAAAAATTATGTCTGAGTCCCAAATCTATATCAATAAATCAGAATAAATACTGAAGCTCAGGCTTTAATTATTATATATGTTTTAAAGGTAATTTTTATAAGCAAATAGGTTGAGAAACACTTAGAAGATAGAAAGGCAGGTATAGGAATTCTCAGGCCTGGATTAGAGTTATGGGTACAGATAATTACAGCTATTAGAGTGTTAGTCTGCTTACATTTTCTTTCTTTCTTTCTTTCTTTCTTTCTTTCTTTCTTTCTTTCTTTCTTTCTTTCTTTCTTTCGTTCTTTCTTTCTCTCTCTCTCTCTCTCTCTCTCTCTCTCTCTCTTTCTTTTTTCATTGATGTTAGAGAAAGAGAGGGAGAGGAAGAGAGAGAGAAACATCGATGAGATCGATTGGCCGCCTCCTGCATGCCCCCACTGGGGATCGGGCCCACAACCTGGGCATGTGCCCTGACCAGGAATGGAACTGGCAAGCTCTTGGTACATGGGTTGATGCTGAACCACTGAGCTACACTGGCTGGGCTAAGCCTGCTTACGTTTTCATAAATGTTTACTGACACTGTGTGCTTAAAAATGATTCAAGATATACCCATTGCTTCTAAGATAATCCAATCACTATGCATGATTTTCCAACCTCTTCATTCATCCATAGGTGATTTATGATCCAGCCATTCCACATTGTGTCTTGTTTTATCCACCTTCCCCACTAGACTGTTAGCTCCTGGAGAGTATGGGCTGTGGCTTTTCATGTCTCTAGACACAGATATAGACCATGCTAGACACAAATAAGGGACTCAGAAATAAGCCCAGAACTGTGTGGGCATGTGTGATTATCTCAGTTGGTCAGTAGCCAATCTGAAATGATGTTTATATAATATGTTTTCATGGATCATTGTCAACATAAGTGCATGAATAGACAGATAAATAGACTTACTCATTCAATATTTATTGTAAAACTCCCAAAAAGTAGACATTGTGCTAAGACCAGAGGACACATTCTGAAGAGGATGTTGGCTGCCTTCAGGGAACCCACATTTTAGTGTATGGTATTGATAAATACTGTAAATCATGCATGCAGGTGAGAAAAATATTCTTTGGTTCAGCATAAGAAATATTAAGTACTGACATTAGATTTTTCTCACTTATGCTTAATTATCATGGAACACGGTAGTACATATATTGTTAAACATGTCTTACTTGTAATTACAACACACATGTCTGTTAACATGTTCTTAGTGTTTTACTCCCATAGAACATGGCTGTTTGCCCACAAATTGATTCAACTACTTATTCCTGGAGATTCGTCCATAATTCATACAGAGTTTTATCCCTTATTTTTTTAAAAGGTTTTTCAGAGGAGCTCAATAAATAAGAAAGATAAGTTAAATGAAGTATCCAGAAACAAATATATCAAACTTGGTGATACATAATGCAGGTATAAAGAATACGGATTTGGGGAGATAGGTAATAGAGAGCAGGAATTATGTGGATATATATAGTAAATTTAACTGTAATCTAAAGGCACCCATGCACTATTGAAAAGGGAATATTAAAGAAAAAATAGTTTCCTCTTTCTGGCCAGTATGCTATAATCAGGGCTCACAATGACGATGACTCTGAGTTATAGGAAAAGGGAAGGGACAGTTAAAGGTAATACTAAAATATTAAAACAGATTTCGAGATGCAGCTAAATGTCAGAGTGTCTTTGGCAACAGAATAGCTACCCAGAGCCATACTGTGTTTAATAGATTGAGAAATGTGAACAGAATCCTCTGAGCAAAGAAAAAAAATGCCTTCTAATATTCCATGACTAGAAAAGTGTCTCTTTGAACACAGAATATGTTTTCCTTTTCCAAATTATGTCCAGCTGTTTCAGACTCACATCTCACTGAATCAAAGGTCTGGATTAACGGGGAAAGTGTAGGGCAAGAAGGACCCAGGGCTCCAGAAGCAGGAGAGGACAATCCAAAGACAAACGTGCTTCTCTGGCAAGGATCCGACCTCTCCCTGAGGGAGCTGACCTCCTGGAGCAGAGCAGCAGCTACCTCAAGTGCTTGCTGCACTTTCACAGATCAAAGTCATGAACCAAATACTGTGCAATGAACCACCCAAGCTGCCACTCTGGGCCCTCCCAGGACTGCTCTTGATTGAAATAAATTTCTTTAAAAAAAATAGCAATGCCCAATGCACATGTCGTTGTCACTGCTATTGACAGTGTGGCTCTAAAATTTGGGCTTGCTCAGGGTCTGACTTCTTTTGAAATATATACAAGAAAATAAGAGAGTGAACATACAGGACCTCACTTCATTTTGAGCAATATTTACTCTGTGGGAATCACAAAAGCAAATTAGAAAGAGATGAACGCTTTGGTTCGCCTGTGAGGCCTGCCTATCCTTCCCTTTGATTGGGTTGCTTTTCATTTTCTGAAGCATAACCTAAGGACTTGTAACCAACTTGCTGCTTCAGTTGAAATACGCTCTTGTCACTAGGAAATGTTTTTCCAATTCCCAAAGAGAACTTGCCAGACAGTAGTACAATTCTGAAGGAACACACACTTTGACATGTTGCAAGTTAAAAGAGATATGCTTTACCTTTTGTGTTAAAATAGAATTGAAGGAAAATATGACCAAGGGCTCAGGTGTAGCAGTGGGAAATACATTCTCTCTTTATCTTCTAGTCTCTCTCTCCTGTGAAATAGCAGAACCACCAATCCAGAAACATAGTAGTCATCTGTGATACTTTTCTCTCATTATTTAATATTCGACCACCAAAATCTATAGATTCTCTACTCTCCACATGACCCAAAATTTTCCCTCCACCTCTTCCTTACACTCTTGCTTTATTTAGTTTAGACCCTTCGCATGTTCTGCCAGGACACTTAAAAGAGGCATCAAACTAAGTCCTACCCTTCCATTGTATCATTCCCCATGGCGCTCTCCTGTTTGTAGAAGACATATTAAAAATTGGCTTTTATTGTAAGTGTTTACATTTATCCAAATGCATATTCCTAGACGAGGGCTTATTTCCTGATTTAGAATACCATATCCATAGGACTGTGTCCAGGGGCTATTGACCAATGTCCATATCCACATTTATATTCCCTTTCTCTGCCTTCTATAGCGAAGTACAGAATCTAAGCAGAGGCAATTCTATTTGCTGCAGATCTGACACAAAGAACTAACATGAATCAAATAAAGTAAACCTGATAGTCCTTGCTGTATTTGTGGACATTTTTATGACTTTCGCCTTTATGACCCGTGCTAGCATTTTTGAGTAACATAATTGACAAAGAGTAAAATGACAATTTTTCCAATTGGTAGTTTCTCAATTTACTGTTGGGCGCAAAAGCAACATATTCCTGGAATATCGGTTTTCATTGCTTCATCCTCTCTTAATTAATGAAAATCCCAGAGATGCACAGAGAACCCTCTTTGTATTCCAGCTGCAGGTATGTCCTTTACATTGGTCTTACCTTACTCTTCCTCGAAGAACAATAAATGCATCAGATCATAGCCACGGACACTCAAGAAAGCCAGTGCTGCAAATGGAAAAATTTCCTTCACCATTTGTTTGATCATAGTCTCCAAATTGAAAGCAGAACTCTCCTATGCTCTGTCAAATCAGTTGGAACTGGTTTGAAAGCCCAAATGGAAGTGTATATACACAACAAATCAAAGGCCGAATGAACTGCCTGAAAGTCTGACAGAGTGAAGAACAGTGTAATTTTTCATGTAAGTTGCTCAGGTTACCCCTGCATGCTACGTTACATCTGCTGTAGTGCTTTATATTATCCTCCCACTCTTACTTGGTGACTATAAAATGTTTTATGGCACCCTTAGTAGCAGTAAAGCTTATAGAAAAGGTACATCCCTGATTAGCATACGTACACATGCTTATAAATACACCCTATCATATTTTCACATAGTTAGAAACCTTAATTTTGCTTCGCTATATTAAAATTTTTGTGAAAGTTAAATTTTCTTAGTGTGAAAGCCCCATGAGATTTTATTTGTGTTGTTATATTTGCTTTATAATTTTAAAAAGTATTTCATGATGCTCGTACAAGTCAGTCAGAGACCCTGTCTATCCAGTAAGCTTGTATGAGTTTAAATCTTATATAGTACCCTAACTCTCAGATTTTGGGAATATTAATTTATAAGACTAGGTGGGCTATTGTTATATGTATTTTCTAAGTACAAGTTTGGGACTTTTTCTGTAACAACTCATTTTTGGAATAACAATAAGTAGATAAGCAAAGAAAATGCTCAAGGTCTTATTGTCCTAATTACTCACACTCCCCAAGAGTCTCCCTAGTTTGTCCATATAATTATTTGGGGGTCACATAATCAACTAGGCACAGTAGTCTTGATGTGACCTGATTAAAGAGGAATGGAATGATAATATTATTCTTTTGGTCTAATATTTTTTATGCAGCTGAGATTTACGATTGCATTATGTTTATTAGAAGCTGAATGGAATCTTTATTCATATATTTGAAACTCTTCTTTTAGAAATATTTTATATTCAAGTTGCTACTTTCTATATGTAGGAAAATTACTCTTTGTATCCAAATATAGGTATTTGTATTAGCCTCCATTTAATTTCCTATTCATACATTTTTTTTCATAAATTTTATAAACTAGCTAGGCATAGATATATAGCATCAGCTCTTGCATAAAACAGAGCTGAAATTAAGATTTTTTTTCTGCTTCTGGGTATGCCATTTAATTTTTTATGTGCTTTATTTTTAAATCAAGGATAATAGTGACTACTGGGGTAGTTATAATAATCAAATGAGATATAGTGTATAAAGGTGCCTAGTCGGCACATAATAGCTACTCCAAAATGGAGTAATTAAAATTATGACTATCATTGTTGCTGAATATTTTTGAAACCATGATTCTGTCACCTTAAATATTAGATAGCTCAAAAATTCATAACTGTGCTTTATTTTAATTCACATTCAAGTCATGATACAGATATTTAAAACATAGACAAGGTAGAAAACTTCCAGCAACAAAGATTTTATTCTAGGTTTAAATATATTCAGTAATACATAATTGGCACATAAATATTCAACCAGTTATGAACCAGTAAAATGTGGTAAGTATTTAACCCCATATTGCCTGCAAGGTGTCAAGAGGAACTTTGTCAAATACCCTGCTTAAATAACACACAAACGTGTGCAGAAATTACACACGTACAACAAACACGGGCATACCTTTACACATTTCAAGATAAAATCTCAAAACATTCTAGCAAGTTTATGGATCTATGATAACTCTTGGTAATTGCCAATTTTGCTTCTATTTAATCACAATATATTTGTTCAGCTAGTTCATTCAACATATTTCTTCTTTCTGTCATCTATTACAATTGTCTTTTTGAAAACTAAAAGAACATTTTCTCATCTGATTTCTGTTATGATGTCTTGAGTTAATCTGTAATCACATCTTCAATGTCTACTCTCTTGTAGGATTTAAATTCACTGAGGCCTGGAGATTTAAATTAACTCAAGGGAGCTTATCATCCTCCATTATTCTCTCCCAAACTATACTTAGGCTATTTCCACACCCTCGGTTATATTATAGTTAGTTCCATTGTTTTTATTTTCCTCATCTGTCAGCTTGTTGAAAGATGTCATAACAATTTTAGGGCACAGACATTTCTTACAATTGTGAACTACTTCATGATTATTTGTTCATGTCACTCCTTTATCATTAATAATACAGTTTATAATACTGTATATTAATGTTACGCCTGTATGCCTTATATGTACTTTTTGTAGTACCCACTATACCTTGAGCACAAACTATGATAAATGAAAATAATTAATCACAATGTATAGTGAAAAGATTGCTACATTATGAATCAGAGAGTTGGGCTTTGGTCCCTCTGTGATCATTGAAAAGTCGTATAACATCACTGGGACTCTTTTCCTCATCTGTAATATATTGAAGTTGGACTACATGCACTTTAAATAGCTCTCCAAACTCTAAATGCTTTGACTTGCGTTATAGCCTCTAAGCTCCACAAAGCAAGAAGCATGTGCATGCTGTTCATTGTTAGTTCCCTGTACTCAAAACAGAGAATATCATGTATTCATTCATTCAATCAAACGTTTTTCATTGTATGTAAGGTACTTAAACTAAAGAAATAAAAAATAAAATAAAAAACCCTTCTCTCATAGGTTTCCTGGTGAGAAGAAAAAATAAACTGTATAATATGTTAGAAGTGTATTAATCATAAATACAGTAGGGAAGGGTGATCAGAAGTGCCAGGTTCTGGTTTTCAATAGAGTAGTCAGTGTAGGCTTCTCTGTGAAGGCTACAACTGAGAACAAATTGGAAAGATGTAGGGATGAGCCACACAGACATATGGACAAAAAGTACTCCCAGGAGCTGGAAGAACCCGTGAAATTCTTGATGTTGTAATTTTCCAGTCAACTAAGAAAAGCTGTGATACATATACACAATGGAATACTATACTGTAAGAAATAAAGATCTCTTATCCTTTGAGACAACACAGAGGAACCTGGAGGGTATTATCCTAAGCAAAACAAGCCAATCAGAGAAAGACAAATATCACATGATCTCACTTATTTGTGGAATATAATGAACAAAACAAGCTGATGAACAAAACAGACCCAGAGACACAGAAATAAGGTACAGACATAAAAAGCTGTGGTACATATACACAATGGAGTACCACGCAGCGGTAAGAAAGAAAGATCTCTTATCCTTTGAGACTACATGGAGGGACCTGGAAAGTATCATCCTAAGTGAAACAAGCCAAACAGAGAAAGACAAATTTCATATGATCTCACTTATTTGTGGAATATAATGAACATAACAGTTTGAGGAATGGGGTAGTCCCAGAGACGCGGAAGCAGGGTACAGTCTGACAATCCCCTAAGGAGTGGGGAGGTGGGGGAGGGATGAACCACAGAACTTATACGCATGTATGCATGAACAGTGGACATGGACAACAATCTGGGGAAGGGGCAGAGGGGAGGGGGAGGGGGAATCAGTGGGGGAAAAAAGGAGAATCATCTGTAACAAAAATTAATCAATAATAAAAAAAATAATAAAATAAAAAATAAATAAATAAATAAATAAATAAAATAAAATAAAATAAAGAAATAGGGTACAGACTGACAAATCTCAGAAGAGGGGGACTGGGGTGGGGGAGGGAAGGGATAAACCAGAGAACTTATATACATGCATGCGTAACCATGGACATAGACAACAATGCTGGGGTGTGGGGAGGGGGAATTGGGAGGAGGGTGTCAATGAAGGAAAAGGAGAAACATCTGTAACAAATAAATATATATATATATATGGGGCCAGAGAAACTAGAGCTGGAGAAGAGGTAAGAAAAGTGGCAGGGGCCAGAGACAGGCCTTGTAGGTGATTGTGAAGAAGCCTGACTCTTTGTCTCTGTAGGATGAAGAACCTTTAGACAGTTTTAAACCAAGAGATGGCATGATCTGATTTATACTTAAAAGATAACACTGGATGATAAATTGAGATTAGCCTGCAAGGAGAACAAGAACAGGAGCAGGAATACATTTTTGAAAGTGGTAATGTTCTGGACATATTTTTAAAGTAGAGACAACAGGAGTTTTTGAGAAAAATACAAGTCAAGGATTAACACCATGGTTTTAGCCTGACCAACTAAAAGGATACAATTACCACTAATTGAGATATAGTGGAACAAGCTTTTAGGGGAATATCAGGAAATTGTAATATATTCAGTTAGAAATATCTGTTAGGCACCAATAATTGCTCAATAAATGTGTGTTGAGTAATTATACCTAACAAGTATAACATATATTGTTTTGTATATATAATAATTAATCTGAAAAATAAAGTTTTAAGAGCTAGCTTTCACAATCTTTCTTCATTCCAAAAGATTTTCCCCAGTATATAAATATTGCCTATCTTAGTGCAATGTGTGTGTGTGTGTGTGGGGGGGGGGGGCGGTATTATCACAGTTCAGGGGCATAGATAATTTGATATGTAGTAATCCATTAAATGTATGTTATAGCCCCCATATGTAGAGGTAAGGAACATTTCTAGTATATGTTTAATAGTGTAAATCAACATCCATCTGAGACAAATATCCAGAAGAATGCATAGTCTACATACTTTTTTTTTGTTTATAATTGCAGTGGGTAAAAATGCTATAAGTGAAAATTTTTAAGAAATTCTTTAGATCTTTGAAAACATTATAATACCGTACAATTACAAAAAGTGCAAAAGCGATTACAAATAGTAAAAAAATATTATTTTTGATTACTTTATTTGATTAGTATAATTTCTATGAACAGATGTTTTCCTAGACCTAGATCTTCAGTCACTGGACAATTAGAATCATGCCGTGTCTTCATAGCTTAAATTGTCTCAGTATTGCTTATGGAGGATTATACACAACATGTGTGTGTGT